ACTATTGATCTTTGAGAGCTCACTGCCACAGAGATCATCAGCACTTCAGCAATTAGCTGCTGATCAGGGTGAGCAAAGATTGGCAGAATGAAACCCGTGACTTCTTCTGTGCAGATAAGCCACTTTTTTTTTCTTTCAGTGCCACAATCTCCAGCAAGTATAATTTTCTGCTGGCTTTGAAGGTCTGCATGTTTTTCAGTCAGTTTTTTCTTTCCAGTTCCTGGTTGGCACTTTGCAGTTGAGCAGTATTCCCAGGGGAAAAATTTTAAGAGGGTTTGTGAGAGGAGAAATAGAGATGTCTGAAAATTGACAGGATTCTGGCACACATGAAATTAAAATATTTCCCTTCCATAGCAGTGCTCTTGTCAATGCAAGACTGACATCCAAGCATAACTTGGAAATTGAGACCTCGTTAGCACTTCTCTGAATTGGTGTGTTGAGGTATATCTCTTTCAAGTGTAGGCATGTAGGTGTGACTGTAGGTAGTTTCTGTGTGCCACTGACTGGTTCATCTAGGGGTCCATCTCTGTATCTACACACGAGACCAGAGATATTGTTGCACTGCCATTGCTGCTTCACCGAGGAGCATTTTCTCTACTGTTTTACACTCTACTACTTGAATTCCATCACAAAATTTATTTGTATTTTGGCCCTGAGTCTCTTCAAGAAATATGTGAGATTTCTGCTCTGTAGTGAGAGAAAAGTACTTCAATCTGTTTGACATGGGTAACATTTTAAAAATGCCCCCTTTCACTATTTGGATTTTTTTTTTTTTAAATTCTTTATTCTTTTCTGGCTTAAGTAAAAAATATAACCTTCACATGCTAGAGGTATTCTTAAAACATTTGGAGCTAGGTGGGGACAGAAAGCTGAAGGACTAGAAAGAGAGAGCAGCTGGTGATTCTTCTCAGGGTAATAAGGAAAAATAACCTGGATATCAAACAGCCAAAGAGCAGAAAATTAGTTGCAGTTCCTTGTAGGAGAAGAAGAGCATTGTTAGGCTGAGGGAGTCATACAAGCCACGTAAAAGACAAAAAACTTATTGTAGCTTGTACTTTGCATGTAGTTTGTGTCTTTCTCCTGTGGGCTTGCTAGCTCACCTCTACCTTGAGCTTCCTCTGCTGCTGGCCATCTTATCACTCTGTTGGGCATAAAGTGGTTCCATCATGTGCCCTTCAGTAAAAGGTAGTTCCTGCTCTGAGGGATTTACCATCTTAAATAGGCAAGAGCTTAGAGGAGAAAAAGGCACAGGGATGCACTGTTGTGTCAGGCAGCAGGTCAGCAATGCAGCTGGGCACACGAGTCAGGTCTCATCTCCCTCTCTGTGCTGCCTTCACAGGGCAACAGGGTCACCAATAAAACCAATTTGGAAAATTAAGCTGTTAAATATAAACATGATTTAGCTTTAATGGCAGTGGAAAGCTGGGGAATGGATTGTGTCTGAGAGGGCTGTGTACAGCTATGTTTGAAAAAAAATTGTTTCTCTGGAACAGAAATGATGGGAGATTGAAAACATTGAAAAAAACCATCAAACCTACAAAAAATATTATGGCAAAATCCTGTACAAGCACATACAAAGCCTGCTGACTTGTCTTTTCATGCAGGCTGCGTTTTATGCAAATAAAAGTGTGTGGGGGGGAAAAAAGCAAATCACCTCAGAGAGAATGAGCAACTAATGCACATTGAATATAAAAATCCATATGAGCTATTTTCTTTTCTGGAAGTTATAAAGGTCATTGAATCCTTTGAAGATTAATTCTCTTTTTAAAAATCCCAATTCCCCCAGATGCGATCAAATTGTTTCTTACAGTGACCACAGATGTAATCTTAGAACCAAATGCTGTATTGTGCATTTGTCAGAGCTGCAAATCACTGGCCTAGCACAGTGTTTCCGAAGCATGGATGCAACCTTGCAGCATGTTCTTGTTTGCTGTCTGCACTCACTGCTTGTGTTTAATGGTGTTGGCACCTTCCCTGTTACCTTTGCTAAGAATAGTTTTGAGTGAATAGCACAGCTACCAATGTCAAGCCCCAGCTCAATTTCTGAGTCAAACGTATCTTTTCCAAGTCTGGGTAGAAACTAGAGTACAATTTTTGTTCCACTCTCCACATAAAAGTGTGTAAATCTTGCTTCTCCTCTCCTCTGTTTCATTTGGCTTCAGGTTTCTTTATATTGCAGATGGAGTCCTTTTCTGTGTAAAGCAAAGTGATGGTCTCTAGATGCCAAGTAACAATGCAAATGTCCCTCTCTTCACCTGTCTCCCTTCCCTGGCTACACAAATTGACCTTCACTATTTCATCTGACTTGGATGAATGGTGATTGCAAGGAGACAGCATATCTGAGGGTTAAACCCCCACTAAATCATGTGGGTTTTTCTTTCTGCTGACTTTTGTTCCCTTTGAGTGCACTGATTTTGTAAGCTTTTCTGCATAGCCCAGAGTGCTGATTGCATTTGAGATTCCTGTGTGATCATGTAAGTCCAGGAGCTGGTGTTTTTAAGACAACAAATATTGTGTGAATCATGAGAACTGGGGCATGGTGGTGTCTTAAACCTCATCCCAGTGAAATCAATACAAATTTTCATATGAACACAGATAAGCCACTGCTAACAGCTTTGTGGGGTGTACAAGGTACTGGACTGTGCATCTAGTTTCATCCAGCATTGTCTTTTATGGAGTAAATAAATTCTGGTCCTGGTCTGGCCTTGATAATGCTAAATTTCTACAGTTAGTCCTTCTCTCATTCAAAGACAAGAAAGGATTCCCATGGAGCAAAATCAAAGGCTATAAGAATGGAAAGGTCTATACGTCAAAACCCCCCACCATCCTCTTGAAAGTGGTTGAAGCTACTATCTCCATCAGCAGGTGTTCTCCAAGGGAGAGCCTCCTCTCTGTTAAATTCTGCATCTCTTATTTTGTCCTGAATATATCCAGCTTCAGCTCTTTTAGCCTCAATTTGGGGCACTGTGCAAAGGCTTGACCTATTTATTAGTCCCTGAAGTTCAGCCCACAAAATTGAAAAGACCTAAGCATGCCAGTCACTTTGAAATATTAAGCCAATTTATATAGTCAGAAACCTAACAATAAAAAGAATGGAGTGTTTGCTCACTTTTCTCTTCTTGCTGAATTTTATTTCTGCTTGATTTTGATTTTTAAAAATAAATCCACCACCCCTGTAAATTTTATTCATCCTGTGTCCTTAACTGAGTTCTCTAGTTTTTCCTCACTCTTAGCAGGCTGATGATGTGACCTACATATTTGACATAACATCAATGAAGAAATAATGAATTGAGACCTTCTTTAGTGATAAAGCCCATTTTTTAGGATGGACAATTGGAATGTGTCGGCTCTGATTGCTACATCAGGTGATAGCAGGTGCTTTGTCATCTCTAACTTTTATTTTCAGTAACATTCTCTTCTGCCTTACGGGATCATTTGTCTTCTGTTGGTAAATTCCCATCTGCACTCAAAATGAGTTTTCGGTGATGTATCGATGGATGGATATAGTCAGCCTCTGTCCATTTAGTCTTCATCTATGTTTGTTCCCAAGTTTTTTTGTGTCACAAATTACGGAAGAGGTCTCTTTACAAAAACACCTCTGTTGTCATTTTTATGCACATCAATTTATCAATATTTTTTGCTTCCAGAGTGATGTTACATTTGTAGAAAGAGAAAACATTTTCATCGGAATAAGGAAGATACTCATAAGTTATCTCAGGATTTCTAGAGAGTTGTGGGACCAAGTTGATCAGATTAGTCTATTCAGCCCATTTAAAGTACTTCAAGAAATAAAATATTAGTAAAAAAGTTTTGATGCAAAATCAGTTGGATTTCACTGAAATTCAGAAGTCCATATTCTAAAATTTTTTAATTAAAATGATGTAGCCTTTTGGGGTCTGATTCTTCAAGTATGAAAGCAATCCTAATAATCTTCTTTGGTCTGTCAGTCCAAATCCATATAACTGCCTATGTAGCTTTTCATGATGCCGAGCTACTGTGAGAAGACTGAATAAGTGATTACCTATGCCTTTTCATTCCTTTTCAGGAAGGAAGAACCCATAGGAGTATTTAGCAGGAAACAGTCCTTGTGCACTCTAATAACTGTGCAAGGATGCAAGTGCTGGAGGAGTTATGGCACAACTCCCAAGATTGCTCGTGATTACATGGCTGTCAATCATGGAGACTGAGTGATCCCTGGTTAATGGTGGGGTTGTTCCAGTTCTGCTAAATTTTACTTATGTAACTTCTTCCAAAATAGCTTTCACCTTAAAGCCGCTGCACAGCCAGACTGACATGCAAGAGGGCAATATGACAAAAGAAAAATACACAAAAATACACTTTTAGTCTAAAGCATAGACCACAAGCAAATGCCATTTCTGTGTATCACAGGTAGATTTCCTTTTAACTCAGTTTTATCTCTTTTGGAAAAGCTTGCTTTCCTTTAGCCTTTTAAATGTCATGTTTTAACAGCATTACTGTAGCCAGCACTACTAGTTGCAGAACTTTTAGGACCGTATGTGTATATACATCTTACCTCTGTGCCACAACTCCAGACCCTAGATCCACAGGCTAGTTTCAGCCACTCTCAGGACTAATTCCCAAAAAGGTTTTCAAGTGTTTTGTTTTTACTGAAGTAAGTATCCTTCATGAACTCTGCTCCCCTAACACCATTCATTTCCATTCAACTCCTGTTTGCAAGGGTCTAATCTGTGCTACCATTCTTATTCACCAAAATTTGTACATACAAAACTCTTGAATTGTTTTTTCTAATAATTTGATAGTAAACTATAGAAAGAGTAATTTCTTCCCTCTGATATCTGGTTATTAACTCTCTAGTAACTGCTAGGTGCTGTGATATTAAGTGATGGTTCTTCAGGATGTTTAATTATCCCCCAAAAGGACCCAAAGTGCTAGTAATGGATCCTCTGGCTCATGACACACATTACTATTAGCCTCTTTTGCTTCTGACTTTTATTCCAGTAACATGAAAAAATGGCACAGGTCCTGCAAACAGAGGAATTTTTTGCAACATGATCTCAGCCCACTTCTGCTCCCAAACTGGAAGATTTTTGCAGTACGCTGATCTTGAGTCGTTCTAAATAGGTCTCTTTCAGGGCTTGCTTTGCAGTGCAATGAAACTGCAGGTGCCTTCCATTCTTTTGTGTCATGGAAAATCCATGTTTCAAAAATCCAAGTTTCAAAGCCATTCCCCCCTGGCTGTTTTAGGTAGCTTCCCTATTCATCCCAGTCCTTACACATGTTGCTACCCTGCCTCCCTCCACAGGGAGAAAAAAAATCCCTGACAATGACAAGCTGCTGATGAAGACTTCTCTCCTTGCAGTAGCCCAGTCTCTTGCACAGGTGTGTCCTTCGTCCTGATAGAGAAATACAGTGAAAAGTCTGAATTAAATAGCAACAGAGTCTGAATTAAAAGCCAGTCATGAACACCAAGTACCTTTTCTGGACAACGTTGGCAAAGATGGTCAGTTGTCTCAAAGCTGTTTTTTATTTCATTTTTACATCTATATGGATTTTAATTGCTGTAGTTTGAAATACATCTAATCTGATTCCTGGTGACATGGTGTGTCTGGTGAAAAATGGGGATGATAACTTCCCAGGGAACGGCTAGTGTTTCAGACCAACTGCTCTGTTAAATGTCTTGTCTGCCAGATGTATTTCAGAGCTGCACTGCTGCATTTTATAAGCCATGGAATACAGTTTGTAAGAGCAATCATCTTCCCAAATTGGTCATTACCAAAGTTAATGACCTGTTTATTAGAACATCAACCTTGGCTTTGCCTCATGCTGTTAATTAACAAATCTGTCATTAACTGCTGGTAGCCATGACTTTGTGCATGTGTATGTTTGGGGGGGAAGAGGCTAGGGATCCTTCATTAGGCATATTTAAGGTGGTATCCCTGCATATTGGTAAGACACCTTCCTATATGATTCTCACAGACTGCACCATTTACATGTTGTCCATGAATTTGTCTAATCCCTTTAGGGACCTGCTTTGTTTACTGTTTTAATCAAGTTCTGTATCAGTTTGTGCAGGTACTCCCTAGTTCTTTTATGTGATATATTCTCAACAAATGGCAGCTTTGCACTGACTTTACCCCTGCTATAGCTGTGATTTGTGATCACTGTGCATTGGGAAGTGCATCCAGAGGGACAAAGGGCTAACCTCAAAGTAAAGAAATTGTTTATTATCGAAATTTCTCCCTGCAATAAAATTGTTTGTTATGCAAGAGGTACCCATAACTAATTGGCTATTTGTTATTTTCAAGAAAAATGCAATCTACAATAGTGAGGTCTGGCATAACATCTGTCTTCTTAGAGAGGGTTTTGAAAACCATAATTCAGGTGAGAATTACAGGTTTTATCCGCCTTTGTTGAGATAAATGTATTTTGCCACTCCTCTCAGCCTCTAGTGCTAATTACACTGTCATAAAATACCCTGGATTAATGAAGTTTCAAAATATATACATCAATTTTGGGCCCTTCCTTGGTTCTGCCATGAGCTCTTCCTCCTCTCTGCGAGTCCCATCTGTATGACTGTGCTGGTGGAGACCCCAACTGAGAGTGACTTATCAAGAGGTCCTTTGAGTAATTCCCGGCGTGACAGATTCAAGAAGAAAGCCCATCAAAGGAGTTTGTGATCTAGAGGCAACCTTCTGTGAGGTGACTGAGTTGGTCTCATGACCATTTTCCCAACAGAAAGATCTCCCTACCCCCAGCTGTTATCCATGCATTTCTCTACCTGTCTTAGCACCCATTCCACCTGGCACTGATCCAGTTCATCTCACTGACCCACAGTGAAAATAGATGTATTTTCAACTGTCAGAACTGACTTGAGGAGGGTCTAGCAAACACCCAGTCCACGTGGAGACAGTGGAGTAAGTATGGGTGAGCACATGGCATGGGAAGGACAGAGGTGAAGGGGATCTGGCGATGGTGATGCACCAGGTGGCTTGAGCCAGCCTGTAGCAGAGCTCCCTATAACAATGAACTCTTAGACAAAATAATGAACTCAATAAAAAATACCTCCTTGGGCAGATACCCAATTTTAAATGTGACAGGAATCTGGTTAACAAGACTACTTACGTATCTTAGAGTTGGTTTTCTGTACATGCTAAGGCAATTTGGTATCCAAATCCCTCTCAAATCACCTGAAAATTAAGTTCCCCTGAGTACAATTAAAAATGTCCACCTGAGAACTGTATTGGCTGAGAGTGTAGATAACATTTTCAAGGTCACAGAGGAAGGCAGAAGCTAAACCTTCCCCAGTGCAGGGGCATCCTACCTCCATGGCACAGATAAGGAAGGGAGATGACACTAAGGTTGCCACACAGAGTGCTGCGGTTTTCAGACTCTTTAAGGATTATTAGCACCCAGAGCATTTTCTACAGAGAATCACTGAGCAGTCCTTTCCCTGGTGCACTGGATTAGCCAGGAGTTAAACTGTTCACAAATAGCATCTCCCTCATACCAATCCTCTCTCTGTGAACTGCAGACTCCCCTTTTCTTCTTTTTTTTTTTTTTCCTGAGGACTTTGCTGTTTTAAAATAATCTGTCTATATTTCAGCAGTAGACAAAGAAGAGAGAAGAGGAATGGACTGATGAGACCAGGGTGTTTCATACAACATTGGCAGATACAAGGCAAAATAAAATGTACATTTTAAGAGTCACTCAGATGAAACCTCAATCCCTGAGCTCACTCAGCTGGCAAAAGATAAACCTTTTGCTTTCCATCAACTCAGGTCTAGTCTTAGTTCAGACCTGGAATAACAAAATAAATGAGGTATTTCAGAACAGGTGCTTCAAAGCTATTTTTACCTTTGAAATGTATCACTGAAAACAACATCATCTGAATAAAATAATAATAAAAAAGAACAAAATAAAAAATATTCTGTTTACCACGTCATCAAAGAAGGAAAGTAGTGAAATACTCAAATCTTGGAAGGTGTCATGGTTTAACCCCAGACAGCAACTAAGTACTGTGTAGCTGTTGGTTCACACCACTGATGGGATCAGGAAGAGAATTTCAAGGGTAAAAGCTAGAAAACCTGTGGGTTGAGATAAAGACAAAGCGAAAGTCACACACACAAGCAAAGCAAAACAAGGAACCAATTTACTGCTTCCCATGGGCAAGCAGGTGTTCAGTGATCTCCAGGAGATCAGGGCCCCCTCATGTGTGACAGTGACTTGAGGAGATAAACACTGTAACTGTGAACATCTCCTGCTTCTTCCTTCTTCCCTCCTCTTTAGCTACTATGACGTCATATGGCATGGAATATCCCTTGGGTCAGTTGGGGTTGGTTGTCCCAACTGTGTTTCCTCCCAGTTTCCCATGCACCCCCAGCCTCCTCACCAGCATGGCCATACAAGAAGCAGAAAAGGCCTTGACACTGTGCAAATGCTGCTCAGTAATAGCAAAAACATCTCTATATTATCAACACTGTTTTCAGCACAAATCCGAATTACAGCCCCATACTAGCCACTGAGATTAACTCTGCCCCAGTCAAAACCAGGACAGAAGGTGAGCCCAGTTTTATGGTAAAAAAATTTAAATTGTATTTTTTTGTGACTTTGGTTGGCAGGCGTCTTAGCAAGCCTGAAGTCAGAGGTACCTTGTAGGCTCCAGGCTGCTCTACCACCTGATCAGAGCCCTGGTTTCTCTGGATGTCTAGTGTGATGCCTTGTATAAACAGCTAAATTAGAGAAAACATCAGAACAACCTGCAGCTTTCACTGGCCACTTGAGCCTTCATATTAAAGGCAAATAAGTAACCGATTCTTTCATCATTTGTGGCAAAAATCCCGCCCTTCACATTCAGTGTTTGATGTGCTGATTATAATCAGGCTGGTTACTGAATGTGCTTAGAGCAGGAAAGGGGACAAAATGGAGCTGGCAGCATCATGTTTTCATCATCATCACAAGTAAATAATTTCTTTAAAACAGCAGTCTCTCTACCAACTAGAGACCTTCTCATCTTAAGTGCATCTGGCATTGTCAACAAATCCTGTGTCCTTTCATGTGATTAATCACGGAGTTAAAGAAGTAGTTATTTCCTTGATAAATGAGATATCATATGCATTCATCTATTACAAAACTGCTGTAGACAATCACTGCATCAGCTCATTACAGCTTTTAAAGGTACGTGTGAATACTCTAAGTTAACAGAACAAAAACTCCAGGTGGAAGGTTAATGGTACTTTTAAAATCAAAGTGACATTGCAGAATAGGTCAGCCACTGCCTTTTGGATTTGGTACTTGCACCACAGGATCTCTCATGAGATGCCATGCCTGGTAATGACAGGCCAGGTTTGCACCCAGTTGTGCTGTAAACTGGGGAACTATCCCTGCTGGAGATGCAAAGCTCTGTGAGTACTGCCAGCTGAGAAAGCACCCTGCCTTGTCATTGCAAAGTGTGACACAAGCCTAAAAGCAGAACACAAAATGTGTCAAACACACATGATATCCCACAGGCAAACTGCCTCTGGAAAACTCAGCAGTCAACAGTACGAGTGATCATTTTATGTCTCCCTTCAGTCTTCCTTGCAGTGGGTAAGAGTGGACCAGTTCAACAGTGATGATAAATGTTCACTTTAGGAGAGGTGATTGTCACTCTACTAGTTTGCTACTCCAAGCCCAGGTGCCTACATTGTTTTCTTTCTAAGGGTTGTCTTTAAAAGCACCACCCTAAGATCAGCTCTGTCTTGCTGAGCTATTGGGAAAGATTACAAGGAAATTTTTTATTTCTGCCAGCAGTGGTCATATCAGATAGGCAGAAATCTCTCACCTGCATGTGCACAGCTCCCTGGGAAGTCACAGACCTCACACCTTGCTAACTGATGCTATTCATCTTGATATATTACCTACTACTGAATCTATCTCTGTTTCAAAGCCTTTGGGGAAAAGTGCAGATAAATGGTAAAAGATTTGTTTTCTTTCCCCACGCAGTTCACTCGTTGGTTTGTACAAATGCCTGCAGAATGACTTGAGTCAAGTTGGGCTCTACTTACTCAGAAAACAGTCTTGAAGGGACCAGAAGAAATAACCAAACATGCATCCTAAGAGATTTTTTTCATAATCAACTTAGAGGCTTTTGCTTGCAGGGTCTGTTCAAGATGTGGTAATGATAACTGCAACAGAAAAAGAAGTTTCAACATGAAACAGTCAGGAGAGCATTCTAGGAGAATCATTTTCAAAAAGAAAGACTTGGTTTGCATGCTCCTCTGGATTTCTGAATAGAATTAGCACTGTATATGTGGATAGCAAGGCTTTCTGGAGGGTGACAGTTTTGTAGGGAACATTTATTTTTAGCAATGTATTTCTGAGTTGTAACAAATTCGAAAACCTTCTTGTTCTGAAATTAGGGTGTTAAAGTCTTTGATTTGGAACCATCACAACAGAGGGAATAAAAGGTCCCAGCTGGGGATAAAATAAAAAAAAAAATGACACATCTTAATCTTTTCGACAAGGACTGTTGAAATATGAGTTCGGGCATAGTCAAAGTAAGTGGTTAAAGAGGGCAGAAGGTTATGGAAAAAAGAGGATGGTGACAGTGGGACAAGTGGGATATTTAAGACAAGTTCTCCTTCAAATTACCAGAGGATGTTTACTTACGGTTTTCTCTGTCAACTGTAGTAATCCTTCCAGTAGCGAAATAGGGAAGAGCTCTGGCAGGGACTTCAGGTTGTAGCTTCTTCTCAGGAGAGCTCAGTACTGACAATTCAGGCCTTGATCAAGTGAAGTATCTCAGCCCATGTTCAATTTGACATTAATGAGTAGTCACATCTTCAAACAAGAGCAGTTTGCTCAAGTCTGCTCTGCAAGATGGTCTTAAAGTGCCAAATGTCCTTTCTTTGACCTTGCTAAAAAATTCAGACACATATGTTTTCATAGAGACCCCATTCACAGACCAGAAAGGGCACCTGGAAATCATGAGAGAACAAAGAAGATTTTGATTTCACTGCAGCTGAAGTCAGAGAAGCAATATGCAGAGCTACAAGGAAGAAGAAACAACACAGGCAGCTCTGCTGGCCGATGATATACCAAAAGACCAAAAGACTTGGACTCGTTTGAAGATTGTCAAGGGATATGAACCCATACACTTAAAAGGACCTGCCTTTTGAACAGAAAACAAAAACAAGCCATCCCTGTGAAAGGAAGGAATAAAAGCAGCTTGATGTGTTCTGACAGCAAAATTAGACAGCAGACACATATAAAAGCCAATGAGCAAACTGTGCAAGTCAAGAAATATGATGTGCCCTGTATTCTTTTAATAGTTTATTACTTAGCAGATTACATGATATTTGACACTGATGCTTGAAAAGCCTCCTGCTGTTTAACAGTACTCTGCAATAAAATGCTGTAATCTGTTAATGCATCAAACTGCCACTATAACCCAGAGTTTGTACAGGAATACTTCCCTGCCGTTTAGTCTGTCATTTTGCTTGAAGAAAGAGAAGAAAGTGTGACTTCTCTTCACCCTCTTTTCCCTGATTACATACCCCCAGCCCTGATTGCTGCTCTCTGAGATCTTCCTTCTGCCTGGGTTTTCCTTGCAGCTAGCCTTTCCCGGTGTTGCTCAGAGAATGCAGAGGGAATGGCAAGAATACACAGAAAATTGAAGCAGAGGCACCAAGACAGCAATAGGTGGAGGGGAAGTTGCCATTTCCCACATTCAGGGAAAGAGGCTGTGCCACAGCAGACGGTGGAGGACCCTCAGGCAGTGGAAAAGGCTCTTCTGATTGGGATTAGGGCTCCAGCTGAAGGATGCTGAGGGGAAATGATGTTGCTTCAAACAACAGGCTGGAAAGGTGATCCCTTGGCAGCATTTGGAGTTGGCAGAAGGTATAGAGAATAGCTCCAACAAAAGATGAACTTACCATACAGACAGGAGAGGCCAGATCTTAGAAATGTTACCTAGTAAATGTTCAAGATATATGGCTTCAGCTGGAGAGAAGGCCACATTAAAAAGAAAAATGAACTGAAGATAAAGACTTTCTTTGCTAAATACCTGGATGAAGAACTAATGGGAAAGGTGTGGAAGAACTCTTATTCTTCCACCATAACATAACACAACACAACATAGTGCAGTAAGAAATCTCTGACAATGCATTTCTTTAATATTTCTCTCCTTCAATAGTTATTGCAGTAGCTGCTGGAATTAATTATGATTAATTTAATTATAGGTATAAACCAGGTCCTTTTCAAAGTGAATTATAGTTTCCTTCAATAGTATGTGGTGGTTAAGCGCTGGTAATTAAGGATTTGAATGAGGGCTTGACAGTGCATTTTCCCATAATTGAAATTCCACTGCAAACCCCATAGTGTTTGCAATCCAGCACACTGCCATAAGCTTTCTCTGGTTGGGTTTTTTTTTGCTGGAATTATATACATATATATATACATATATATAAAGTAAGTTACCATGAAGGGCTGCCTTTTATCAACCTACTGCTGAATGCATAAGATGTCTAATAATTCATTTAACATGTTTAATGTTTATCTCTTTAATTCAGTCTTAATAGGGCAGGTGAGGAGACGATGGTGCAGTGGGTTTGAAAATCCAGTGTCAGTTCCATTGGTGTGGGAAGGGGAGAGGATTTGCGTTGCACCTCAAGTCTCTGACCCTCCAAGGGGGAAGAACTTCTTGAAGACTGCAGAGAGGACATTTGTCAGGAAAACCCAGTTCTTTCACAGAAGATATGTTTGTGGATCGTGCATTTCTGAGGGCTCAGGTGCCAATAACCTGTCCTCTGCAAAAGCACAAACTCACCCCAGCATATGGTGACAGTGCGCTGCGAAGAGCCGGTGACCACAGAGAGTGCCTGCTTCTTGGGAATACCTGCCCTTCTTGGACTGGCTGTAGGTATGCCCAGTGAAACAGATGAGGTTTTGTGGCTTTTAAATACTATGGGAAAATGAGCATTTTAACCAACTGTTTAAGGAATCATTAATCTACTCAAAATGGACTTACCTATAATTTCCAAGTATCTCCCGTTGCAGGTTTAAGGGTAATCCTTCATGCTAGATTCAGGTTCTACTCACAGCAAAATTTGTCACAGGGTGCAACAAGGAGAAAAAGGCAATTTCTGGGATTGTGGCAGGAGTTGGGTGTTAGTGGAAGTTTGATGCCCATCAGGGAATGGCTAAGGGCTTTGGTCTCTCATGCTTCCACACAATAGCTTTGTAATCCACAAAACTAGGGGATGCTTGCACACCACTATCTATTGACTTTGTACCAGGCCAAGCGATCTGTTGTGTAAAAATATGCATCCATTCTCTCCTATGGGATTAAACGACAACACTGGAAATGAGTGAACAAGAAGCAGGGATGAAGTTCAGCTCAACACAAAGGTGATGTCAATTAGGTATGAACTCAAAGGTGGAGGATCATGGGAAAGGCAGCAAATGCCAGGCCCTTCTCCTGTCTTTTCCAGAGTTTCCCCTCAGCCACAGAGGGAGGAAAAGTTTTCACATTGAATTTGCAGTCTTTTGTCAGGTTGTCACAACCTTAACATTATTTAAATGTAATTTTTTAATCTATGAATTTGAATTATCCATGGATTCGATTCATTACCAACACATGCCTAGTAGCCAGTTTCTAAATTATGTTGCTGCTGACTTGAATTATTATAAATAAGACTGTGCCAAATGTCAATTGATTATTCTGGAGTAATCAATAGAGAGAGAGAAAAGACAGCTTTGGTTGACTAACAGCAAATGATTTTTATTCCACAGTCTTGGAATTTAGAGTAAGGCTGCATACCAGTCCCTCAATAAACAGATGTAAAAGAAAAGGGAGGCTGGGCTCCTTACAAGTAAGAACCAGCAAGGCTGTAGTGGGGCCACAAGCACAAATGTCCCTGGAAAAGGCTTGCAACTGGTAAACCTCCGGATTCAGTCACAGACTTTTCCTTAGACTACTTTTTTTTCTCCACATATGGGAGCTCCCTCTGAATCCTCTCTCTGTGGTACTGTGGTTGTGATGCTAGTGGGGCAGGTTGGCAGTGTCAGGCTGCCAGATGCCTGCCAAGACACTTACTCCACTCCCCTCCCCAACAGAATGGGGGGAAAAATGAGGTGGAAAATAGGCTCACGGGTCAAGATAAAGAGAGGAAGATCACTTACCAGTAACTAACACCAACAAAACAGTCTTGACTTGGGAAAAATTAAGCTTATGTGTTTTGTCAGAGGTACCACTACCTTGGCTAAAGAGCTCAGGCTGAACAGACCAAGTGCCCTCAGTTGCTCCATGTGGTTCTGTTCCCCAAGCTGGGCAGCTGACACTGGCTGTTGCTACTCAGAAGTAAGGTGGGTTGGGTGACCTGAGAATGTTTGCCCCCAAATGCTCAGACACCTCTCTTACTGTCTAAGGAAGTGGTGGGGAATACAGTGATTCCTTGAGTGGGTCATAGAGGGAAGTATTTTGAGATGTATCTGGATACAATTTGACAGTCAGCATTAACCTATTCTTGCGTCTTGATGGCTACCTGGAGAAGTGTGCGGTGATTGAGGCCCCCAAAGATGTCTATTACTGTGCCAAATCTCACAGAGAGGCTACAAAATAGTTTTGTCTACCTACTTTTCCTTCTAGTTGCAAGGTGATAGTTTTTATCCTAGGTTGTGTTTTTATCCTTCAAGGCGTCTCAATGTTGTAGGGGGAAGCAAGGCTGGTAAAACCCCAGTTTTTGTGCTTGTGTGCAGATGGGCTAAAAGATTTTTCACGGAACTGAAGCTCTCCAATTCCAGTATGGTTTTCCCCTTTTGTCTTGGGTTGTAATGAATGCAGGGAGCAATCCAAGCACACATTCTCTGCTTTGAGTAGAGGCAAACCCTATATGCATGAGATAAAATTAAATTAAATCTGTGCTGTCATGGCTGGACAGTAACAGCAATGAATGCAGCTCATCATCCCTCCTGTGCAGTCTGATGAACTTTGCATGTAGTCATTACCTGTACCGGGGAGCTGGGCTGCTCAGCATTACTGCAATTTGTAAATGGCTTCATTTAGATGTCACCAATGAACTAAATTATGGAAGCTGTAATTAGCGATGATGGAACTGCAGGTGGAAAACAGTAAGTGGTGACATTACTTAGTGACTTCATAAGGGATTTTGAATGTCCAGCAGCCGGCTGCTGCATGTAGGGGAAGAATGACAGCAACTGAAGGAAAACAAAACAGCAACAGCAAAAAGAAAGCAAGCAGCAACAAAACACACTCACAAAAAAAAAAAAAAAAGAAAAGAAAAAAAAAATACATCTGGGAAGGTGGATGGAAAATGAAAATCTTCTGAGTGATGTTAGGTGATTTTAGGTGGTTACTTTCCAAGCAGAGAGGCATGATACAGCCATGCACATGCTGTTACAAATGTACTGAGTCAAATAACTTCCCTGTGGTGCCTGTGTTTGTTATTCCCTTGAGGATGTCGGTTGATCTCCAGGAAAGTGGACTCTGGGAAAGTGTATGCCTTAATCTAAAGCATCACAGTGCATATGGCCTGTCCTGAGCACTCGTAATAAAAGAAGCAATGTGCATGAAGCAAGGGACAGAGATTAACCTGGCTTTAAAAGCAGGGCTTAAAATGATTGCTTGCTCCACAGGTTTTAGTTTCTATTCCCACAAATGCCTGTCCCGTCATACCTGCAGCTTTTTGTGCTGTGTGTGTCTGGTTTCCTTGCTGTATGATGTTCCCTGGAAGTGTACGAGAAAATGCTCAACTATGATGAAAAATGAGGGGGAACAATAAAATGTTGTGCTATCTAATCCTCGCTGGAGGACATATTTACTTACCCGTGAGTGCCGAGTTAGATCCCTGCACCAATGTCCTGTCATGGTTGTCACACTGTTCCGTTTGGAAGCTGTTGGATCTAGTCCTTGCTTGTGCTGCATCACAATGTAGGAGAAAAAAAAAGAAAAAGAACTAAAGTAACAATATAGAGCAGAATTGCAACTATCATCTGCCAGTGGGGAACTTTTTCAGCTTCCCAAGGTTGTGTAAACTGAGTTTTTGCTTGTGAGTTGAGATTCCTTCGACTCTCATAGAAATATATAAGAAATAGCTCTGAGCAGTGAGATAAGCCAGCCTAGAGGCTTGAGAGGGAAACTGCCCAAAGGCAGCATTCTGGGATGCTTCTGTGATTTGTCTCCTTATGCCTGCTACAAGAGTAACGTGCTGAGTACCAAGACTGTGTGCAAAGGAGAAGAGGGAAGAGGCAGTCTATAAAAAGTGATTGTGCAGTTGCTGTGAT